GCAAGAGAGAAAGACCCTGTATCTACAATAAATAGAAAACTAGCTGGACATTGTGGTGGGTGCCTGTAATCCCAGCTACTTGGGAGGCTGAGGCAAAGGGATCACCTGAGTCCAAGAGTTTGAGGTTGCTATGAGCTATGACACCATAGCACTCTACCCAGAGTGACAGAATGAGACTCAAAAAAAAAAAATTTTTTTTTCACCAATACTGGGTACACTGAATTTAAAGTACAATGAGATAACTAGTGGTAGAACTAAGACATATAGTATTTTGTAGCTTATGCTCAGACTAAAAAGGCTTTTAATAGTAATTTAGAGGATATCACATACAAGACTGAACCGAGTCTCAAACTTTAATCAAATTGCTTGTTACAGTAGAATTCTTCATTCATTCATTTATTTTTTGAGACAGACTCTTACTCTATCACCCTGGGGTTGAGTGCCGTCGTGGCATTATAGCTCACAGCAACCTCAGACTCCTGGGCTCAAGCGATCCTCTTGCCCCAGCCTTCCAAGCAGCTGAGACCACAGGCAGCTGCCACAATGCCTGGCTGTATTTAGTAGAGATGGAGTCTTGGTCTTGCTCAGTCTGGTCTTGAGCTCCTGAGCTCAAGGGATCCAATAGCCTTGGCCTCCCAGAGTCCTAGGATTACTGGTGTGAACCACCATGCCTGCTGAATGGGACCTCCCTGGTGACACACATTCATCTTTTGTGTCAACATTAAAGCCAACTTTGATGAGTTTCTAAAGTGTTTTACAACTGATCATTTTGGAGTGTTTTAAAGTAGGTTGGAAAAAAAATCCTTTAATGATGCTATTCCCTTCCTGCATTGATGACAGAAGCTCAGCAAATAACTCCTTCATTACTGAAGCCTAATTTCCATTTAGTGTTTTGAGAAACACAGTATCAGTATATGTAGCTCATAATAAAGCTCTTTAATATTGCAATTAGTCATAATTGCTGATGTCTAAAAAAGTGCAGTTAGTGTTTAACCCATTATATTCTGATTTTATCCTTACTGCAATGACTTTCACATTTCTTGGGAGTTGGAATGTGACCTTCCAGATCAATTCACTGGTATCTAGAGGTCCAAAGACTCTGTGCCATGGAAAGGGGGGTGTGCCTATTTCTTTTAGAAGAAAAATGAGAACATATGAATGAAAACATACTTTGCACGTAACTGCTGGGAGATGCACCTTGGATGTTGCAATATTGGCACTTTGGAGACATTTAAATGGTTAATGGAGTCACAGGGCAAATCCTTT